ACGTAATTATTTTGAAAGTGAGTACCCAGGGTACCTCGCATGTCATATGTCGACGTGGAAAGTCCATGACCAAAGGTTGATATGTGGCAAGGTCAAAGTGAGAATGTCTCGGTCTTAAAGAAGACGTTTGCCAACAAGTGGCTGAATGAGACTACAAAACATCATCACAGCGAACACGTCTTTACAGCCTCGTTGTGATGATGATGTTATGTTACATGACTGCGGTGTAATTTGTGAAATTTTTTGAGATGCTAACATCCAGTAATAAGCAAATGTTAGCATGCTAAGATGCTAAACTAAAATGGTGAACATACTAATCACTAAATCTGCTAAACACCAACATGTCAGCATGCTGATTTTACCATTTAGTTTAAAGGTATCATGGCTATAAAATTATATTCTTGTTATTTTTTATGTGTGCATCAAGCAGCAACCGTCAGGGCTGAAAATTGAAGCCAACGCCAAAGTACTGAAAACTGCAGTTCCTCTAATGTCCACTAGAGGCTGGCTCCAAGAGCAGCTCAGTCCCCACAGACCTGACCATGTTAACATGTAGAAATAAACATGTTTACAGCCTGGTACAAAAACAGTTTTGGTCTCTGAAGCTAACTTTAGCAGCTCATTTACACAGTTAATTTCAAAGTACAGGACTTTTAATCTTGCTAGCACAACGTTAGCTTTAAGGCTAATAGCTGGGTCAAAGGGTTCCGTCGACTAGAATATCTCCTGTTGCGAGGTCGTATCTAAGGGTCGTCCTATTTACTGGAGCACTGAATAACGTTTCCAGAGGTCCTTAGACAAACCCTCAGGTGTTACAACATCAACCCGACTTTTGGCTCATGAAAAACTTTGACTGCAAAAAGCATAAAAATATGAATGAATAGTCTTGATATTTCTTTGGTAAGTGATCATGGTATAAGCAGGATAGAAGAAGTCGTCCTCCATTTACGTCCGCCATTAAAAAGCGATAATGGACACCTTGTTGGGCATCATCCCTTACATATGTATAATGAAGTCACCATGGTGATCAATATTCCACCTTCACGTTATTGTAGGATGAGATGTATACAGTGGAGTTTAATATGATAATGGACATCACTAAAGGTGTGTAAACCAGGTCACTACAAATTGGTTACTTTCCTCAAAAGTAATTGAATTACCTTCCCAGTTACTGCACATAGAAATAACTTACTTTGGAGAGTATCCATTGTATCCACTATCACTGTGATGAACAATAAGCATGTGTTCGGATATCCTGCTTCGATGAGCCCTCACATCAAACACAAGCCAGTTTTTAAAGTGCAACAGCAGCTGTTTCTCAGACACGTGACAGTAACTGCTCATCACAACAGGCCTAATGACATAAAAGTCATCACAGTTATTTACAGAAACACAAACACTCTGAGGTTGATCCTTTAAAGACTGACTCACATCCCTCACTCAGACTGTAACTCACCATGACAGCCCTAATTTTTGTCCTTGATCTCCAGGAGGGAAAAATAATGTCTGTAATTCATGAACAGCAACTCAATTTGTCTGAAGTGTCGGGGTGTGTGTGTGTGTGTGTGTGTACCAACAGTCTGATGCTGACTGATTGACTCATAGAGCCGCTGTAAGGTCGGGTGAGTCACCTCTGCACTGTATATGAGAGCGGGTCGACCGCTGTAATAACTTACAGAAACATTGTGTGCAATAATTCAACCAACACCTTCTCACCTCTCTGTCACACTCTATAATACACACACAGACACACACACACACACACACACACTGAATGCTGCTGACCTGGCCAGGCGCATGTGTACAGCTGATGTTAGCTCAGAACCAGGAAAATAACCCAGGAACAGGCTGCTGTGATCAAAAGTAACGAGCCCATTTAAATTCCAGTAATATTAATGCATACATTAGTGCTAACTGCTGTGTGTTCTGTACTTAGTGCAGAGTTTAATAAAGTGTCCTTGCTAAACTCTCTGCCAACACACACACACACACACACACACACACACGTGGTTACGTTTAGCCAACACACACACACACACACGTGTGGTTGGGTTCAGAAAAAAGAACAGGGTTTGTCTTTACATTCATATGGTAAGTGAACGGCCCTCACCCACTCTACTCAGACTTTCGCCACCTTAGTTTTTGTTGTTGTCGGCTGCATTTTCCCGCTGACATTGCCAAGTTAATGGTGACCAACAGTGTATCATGCCAATGTGAAAGGAGGCCTTTTTTTGTCAGTGTCTGACGCTGGAAGTCACTGACCAAGTGCTGGTACTTGATGACTTCAGAGTGAGACCGAGTTGCTCAAACTCACAGAAATGTGCTTGATATTTCCGGGACATCCCACCAACAGACACACACACACACACACACACACACACACACGCACTATCATAGTGATGGTCTATAAATGAGGTCCACAGTGAGGTCATTGCAGTCATGTGACCTGGTTGTATTGATTCTTGATTGATGTTTGGTAGATCAGCTGTCGTGTGAGCTGGTGACAGACAGATTTACATTGAAGAATTATTCACTGTTGACATTAAGATTTTTTTAGTTTCATGTACAACAGTGTGATGAAACCTTGATATGATCAACATGAGAGTCAAACAGCTGATAATTCAACATAGCAGAAATGAATTTGTAATAAACAGACACACATGACAGCGTTTGATCTTCCCCCGCAGAGCGCCTGAAACATGTTGCGTGTCAGCCAGCAGACTCTTTTCACAGACACACACGCATGACCTTAAATAAATGAAGCTGCAGCCACAGTGACAGTCTTTGTCCTGTGAGGGTCGAGCTGTCAGGAGTCACAGGTGGGATTTAAAAAAGAGGTTTTAATCAAACCGAACATGAACCATTTTAGAAAATATGCAAAGATTCTCTGCATCCATGACATCTGAACAAAACCTAACTCAGACTGTAACAACTGAAGTTAAAGTTAGTAACAGACTAAACCAACTGAACACAGAGGGAAACATACTGTGAACACTTGTCTGACTGATCAGAACATTTTGACACAAACCAACTAAATTACAAATAAAACAAAACAGGACAATTCTTCTTATTATTCTTATCCCCCCATGATGTGGCGGCACTTGGTACAGTCTGATCATTTCCTCTATTTAAAAGCGGAGCATCCTAAACTATAAAGAAAACTCAGGTGTATGCAGCATATAAATGGACGCAGGGAGAAAGGTTTGTGTGACGGTTCAGGTGGACTTTATTAAAGATGTCAAAAGTTTCAGTAGAATTGTTGAAAGGAGTTGAAGTGTCAGTCCACGTGAGCAGTCCAGTTTTTTTATCTGTAACCCTCTATAGTTTAAGTATCAGATGAAGTTCATTAAATTAAATAATTAGAAATGAAACTTTACTCATCTGTTACTGTGAATCCAGTTTTTTAGCTTATTAAAGTGACAGAAAGACGTTTTTGTGGAGAGAGTTGATGGAGCTGAACCATGTGAGGAAGGCCGGAAAACAGGGACTCAACATGGCCTCCAGAGAGTCATGTGACAAATTAAAACACTGCTGTTGGTCTCCTGAGGGCCGTCTGTCTGTCTGTTTATGCCTCCGTGCTGGTGACAGCCACTTTGATTTTGGGTTGTCCATCCGTCCGACTGTCTCATCCTTGAGAACATATGTCAAAATCACCTCAAGGGAATATCTACAAATTTGGCACAAATGCTGACTCAACGATGAACTGATCAAAGTTTGGTGGTCAAAGGTCAAGATTTCTTTGACCTTGCACCTGTTTGATTTTTATAAATGTGATATCTCAAGAATAGCTTTAGGGAATTTCTTCAAATTTGGCACAAACGTCATTTGGACCTAAGAATAAACTGATTCGAACTTTGAGGTGGAAAGTCAAAGGTCAAAGGTCAGTGTGACCTCACAAAACACTTTTTTGGCCATAACTGAAGAATTCATTCACAAATTCTGACAAAACTTGAAGTCACATAATGAAGGTCAAAGGTCAAAGGTCAGCTTGACTGTGACATCATCATGTTTTAACGTCATATCTCAGGAACAGAAGGGGAGACATTTGGTCAGATACTGAATTGGTGACTCTAATCTTGAAACTGTGCTGATTGTATAGATCTTCTGTGTGTGAAGCATCCATGTTTTCACTGACATGGATGGAGACTGTCAGAGACACTGGACTGGTGGGCGGAGTCATACAACCACAGGGTGGACTGGTGGGCGGAGTCATACGACCACAGGGTGGTGACTCTAGTTTAAGTGTTGTATCATAACTGAGGCTGTATAGTGTGAGTGTAAAGGGGCAGACGTGGGTATCTGACAGAGGCCCGTCGAGGGTTTGGTCTTAGATGTAATATTTGTCAGTTTGAAGTAAAGTTGAAGAAGATTCGAAGATGAATCTCTGGGAGCAGTTGAAGTTTGAGTGGAAGCAGAATCATTAAAGGAGGGTTCCCGACACTTATTTGTCTGACTGTGAGAAATATTGGAATCCACCCGAAGCAAAATTTTACCTTTCTTTCATTTTCTGCCCTCTTGTTTCTAAAAGTCGATGTTTTCTGCTCGCAGCTGTAAATCTATTTTTCTTCCTGTGGATCTGAACCGAAACTCAGCGTGACTCCAGCGGAGAGCTGAACACGAGCTCGGCCTGATTCGCTTATCCTCTCTGTAGGCCTGACCCGGCGAACACTGGCCTGGCTCCATTTCTGTGACTCTGTGTACATTTAGACAAAAAAACCCTCAAATTTAATTTCCGTCTCTCCGTAGATTTGAACTTAAACTCCACCTGATTATATTAAGTTGTCTGTAGAGTTTAACATACACTCAGCCCTCCTCTGTTTGTCTCCTTGTAGATTTGATCGTAAACTCTGCCAGATTTAATTTCCCTCTCTGCCTAAAAACTTGGCATAATGCCATTTTGGTCTCTGCAGCATGCACTGTCTCTCTGTATCTGTTTTTAGATCTGTCTCTATTCAGATCGGCCTGATTCCATTTCTCTTTTCTGTGCCTTTTGTTTTTAGATCCGCCTGTACGCTCGGCCGGATGCCATTTCTAGTGGCGCAGGGGACTATGCTCTCCACATCACCAAGAGGCTTCTGGGATTTTACCAGGACTACTTTAAAGTCCAGTACTCACTGCCCAAGCTCGGTAAGTCTGCTGACGTCTCCTCCTTCCTTTGACGCTGTGCGCTTACTCTGATTTGGTTCCTGTCCCTCTGATGTTTGACTCCCTGTCAGCTCTCGTAGAATAAAAAGCACACTGATAACTTCCCATCCTCCTGCTCATCCAAATTAGGAGAGAGACAACAGCTCCCCTTCCTGGGCTGCCCCCTTTTTAGGGAAGTCAGCCAACTCTTTGTCCTTCGTACAATTACTGTTGGGTTCATCAATTTGTACTCACATCAGGCAAAGAAAACACTCTGTCCTGCTTTTCTTCCCGTGTGTCGGGGGGATGTACAGTGTGATTAGCTCTGGGAACTGAACCTCAGTCAGGCGTTTGTCTTCAGACGTTGTAGCTTATTTAGTTAAATGAGAAAAGGGTTCAGTGGAAGGATGTGTCAACACTCAGCAGTATTTTGGATTCCAAGCCCCAATATAAACCCAATAATCAGTCTTATACATGTTGTTCTGAAGATGTAGTTTGGAGGCTCCACCCTGATGGTTCAGTATTCAGTATAAGTGGCTGTACTGATAACGGAGGTGAAGCTCCTGAGTTCCTGAAAAGGTTTGTGGTCTTATGCAGTTATCTGTTGCTCCTTCTTCAGGACACCATCCTGACTCTGGGTCGGCAGGTGGATCACCTGATGCAGCTTTCTATCAGACTTTTTAGTTTTCAGTGTGACATGAGGACACACTCTCTCTGTCTCTGGGCCACAGGTTTTGGTTCATGCTGCTAAGCTTTCAGCCTCCCAGCAGCAGGTCCACCTCCCCAAAAGTGACTGTACAGTTGTGTGTGACCATGTCTGGTGCTTACACTGCCGTCTTTCCTCTCCGAGTTAATGAGATGTGTCAGAACAGTTGAATTCCCCCCCCCCCCCCCCCGCCCTCCTTCTTCTTCTTCTTCTGTCTTCATAATTGTTTGTGTTTTACACTTCTGTCCTGCCAGAATCAATTAGCCATGTCACAGCGGTGCATTTCCTTTTTTGCTCTCCACGCCCAAACAAGCTAATGTGATCGCCAGGGCTCCGTATTGTATATGTCACACACTTCCTTCCTGTCCACATTCATTCATCACATTATACATTCACTTTCAGTCAAAGCTTCCTGTTTGCTTCCATCCGCCCCGATTAGACCTGACATTTGCTTCCCCTTCATGACCTTTACACTGACGTTAGCTGCATTATAAAAGGGTGATGTCACTTCCTGTGGTCCTGACCAGGTGATGTCAGGTGAAAGTCTTGTATCTCAAAGATGTCAACTTGTCAAGAGCTCAGAAAAGCTGTGGTGTTAAATGGATTATCGTGACGTTTCATCGTCTTCCAAAGGGTTTCAAATGGTTTTAGGAGCCTGCTGAGGTCAGGGAGTAATCTAGAGACGTGTGATCTTTCAAACTGTCTGAGAAAATGAAAATATCTTAACCTGGAGATACGTTATGTTCGGTTTCATCTGGGACTTTATGCTGTAACGAAACAAGACAATCTGTCAAGCATAGAAACAAAATACAGAACAACACAAGATTAAAAAAGGGACATCCCTTTCACAAAAATTTTTCGCATGCGGAAATTTGTTTTCTTCACTTGCAAAGCGCGCCCTGCCAGGAGGTTTCTACATGTCTGCCTGCACCAGAAGTAGGCTGAAGTACTATATTCACCCAACAGCTGCTGCACATACACGTAGTCACATACTAGTTCTTATAATTATCTGATAGATAATCTTTAATCAAATAATCCCAGAGAACAGACTTTTCACGCTCCTCTGCGCTCTTTGTGCATCTCATGTTGTTGCAGCACCAAAATGCGTGTCAGATTTGTTTAAACTGATTATCAAAGCCACAGTGCGGGAGATGTAGACAATATTACAAGTTGAGTTTTGGTTGATGAAGACACATGGAAGTGGGAAAGTAGTTTGGTGTCTGTCCTTGCTCACCACGGGCAGCTGTTGAACCCAAATCAGCCAGAGAGTTGAAGGGAGACGGTGTGGATTAATGCCAGACTATATTACTTGTTGTTAAATTTAAAGGGATAGTGCAGCCAAAAATGTAAATTCAGCCATTATCTACTCACCCATATGCCGAGGGAGGCTCAGGTGAAGTTTTAGAGTCCTCACATCACTTGCAGAGATCCAAGGGGAGAGGAGGTAGCAACACAACTCCACCTAATGGAGGCTGACGGCGCCCCAGATTCAAACGTCCAAAAACACATCATTGAATCCACAAAATATCTCCATACTGCTCGTCAGTAGTGATCCAAGTGTTTCGCGCAAGCGCACACAAGTGAGCGTGGTGCCCAGAGAGGCAGTCAGAGCTACAGGCTACAATGAGGCTAAAAACAGAGTTCAAATGAGGTTTTTCCAAACAACTTTTTATGTCGGGGCTTCAGGACACTTGGATCACTACGGACGAGCAGTATGGAGATATTTTGTGGTTTCAATGATGTGTTTTTGGACGTTTGAATCTGGGGCGCCGTCAGCCTCCATTAGGTGGAGTTGTGTTGCTACCTCCTCTCCCCTTGGATCTCTGCAAGTGATGTGAGGACTCTAAAACTTCACCTGAGCCTCCCTCGGCACATGGGTGAGTAGATAATGGCTGAATTTTCATTTTTGGGTGCACTGTCCCTTTAATGGTGGGTTATTGCCGACATGAGGCTCGCTGTACTGAGATGATTTAGGGCCAAGAGGGAGGGGGAGGGGCTCGACTGCTTGAGCACCACCTGAGGTCTGTCTATGCACGTGTCTGCTCGACATGCTAGAGATGTCACGATACTTTGGTGCCAAGTTGATGCCAAAATTCTGAAAATCTGAGGGAGGACTGGCCGTGTTTGGATTTATAAAAAGTAAGGAGGAACGGATGCTAAACGATGACAGTAGAGAAGAATATCTGTGAATATTTATATCACACACTGAAAGAAGGTTCCTGAACAGTGGAACAAGTTGCTGCAGATTTGAGGGGGATGAATTTGGCCACACGATATTACCATAAATCAAACAGTGATAAAACATGGAATAATGTAAAGTTAACAAACAAGAAACATTTATAAAACTTCCTAATTTACTGATGGTGAACTATGACGAGACAAAAACAGTATCTGCTGGTAACACTCGTGGGTACCTGGAAAACTGTTGCAGAAAAAGTTATATTTCTTTTTTTTTTAATGATTTTAGCATCATAACTGTGAGACTGCATATGTGACATTTGTGAGTCGTCCTTACTTCCAGTCATGATTGTGCTGTTTCCATAGAGCAACAGAATTTATATATCGCAGAGAAAAACGAGGTCACAGTCAGTAAAATGTGAGCGGAGCTTCATTCATGGTCTATGGACAGAAATTGTCATTTATCTGAGTTCTTCTGTTCCACATGAAAACCAGCACAGGACCTGGTGTTAGCGTTCAGGATGCTTCAGACTCAGGTGGTAAAAATGTCTTTGCTGAACCGTGCCCTTCAGTTCAGTAAACTTGGCACACCGGGCTGTTGGACTGGCGCCAGACTCGTGATCAATGACGCACTAGAATCGGCCCAAGTGCTCTGGTCTAATTCCAGGCGTCAACATTTGCCCAAAGCTTTGATGCGTGCTGCTAACTGGAGCTGATTCTCACTCCAAATCAACCACATTCCTAAAGCCGAGCCAAAAGTGTCAACAATATACGAGGCAGAGCCAGCTCACGTTTGGTCCTCCAGCACGCAGACTCTCTGCAGTCGGCACAGATTTCTCAGGTAGATAGTTTCAACTGTTTCTGTCCAGTATCTCAGGGGTTAAAGCTTTACACTCTGAGCAGATCCTGACACACTTGTAGAGAGGAGAGTCTCTGTTGTAACATAATCATGATAATAAGCTTTATTTATAGAAACATAAAGAAAAGGATAAGCTCTCCGATAAAATACTTTTTAAAGAGGAGGCTTCAAAGACAGTTTGACTCAGCCAGCCTCATTGCCTCGGGCAGGTTGATCCAGAGCCTCAGGGTGCTGACTGTGAACACTCTGTCCACTCTGGTTCAGGCCGTGACTCTGAAACACACAAAGACACCAGCCTGAAGATCTGCAGCTACTTACAGACTCTTTGGTGCCAAGAGGTCAAACATAAGGCCAGATGACGGCCAGGAGGAGACGATAAGGTTATAAATAAGAGCTGTAAATCTATCCTAAACACATTGTGCCATCCAGTCTGTGGGTTATTGCCACAGATAGAGGCGTTTCCAGGCGGTGTTTGCACCACCAAACCTGGGTGTGTTTTGGCCACGTATTGCTGCATTTCCAGCGGTGTTTGCGCCATCAGACCTGGATGTGTTTTGGCCACGTATTGCTGCATTTCCAGCGGTGTTTGTGCCATCAAACCTGGATGTTTTTTGGCCACATGGTATTTTTTAGCATTACATTGCAGCATTTTGAGCGGTGTTGGGGCCATCAAACTGTGGTGTATTTTAGCAACATGTTGCAACATTTCCAAGATATCTGCAGCATCAATCATGGTTGTTTCTAGAAACACATGGGGGTGTTTGCATCAGAGACTGTGGTTGTATTTAAGCTAAAACATGATATTTTCCTAACTTACCCAAGTGGTGTTTGTGCCTAAACGTAATTATACGTTAACTCCAGTTTTGTTGAAATGTAAAGTTTCAGTGTATCAGCTACATAATGATGTACAAATGTTTCATATCTGTGGTTTGCAGAAATGTGTGATGCCAACATTGCTGTTGTTGAACAAACTTTGTAATTCGTTGCTCAAATCTGAAATTACAAACCAAACTGTGTTTCCTCAGACAGAGGGGTGGTGTTGATCGTCCGTGATTGACTTTCTTGACGGTGGAGATAAAGCGGCTGCCCCGTGTGTCAGCCTTCAGGTATCTCAGCATCTTATTCAGGAGTGGGTGATAAAAGCTGTCGGTTTATCAGTCGGTCTCAGTGATTCTGGCTCCTCTGACTTATTGTTACGGGGCAGACTGAGGACACGCAGGAGGGACTACACCTCCCAGCATGCTTAGATTTGCTTGATGA